ACATTTGGCAGATAATTAAGACAACATTCCTCTTTTTGCATATTTTTAGGTACTTTGATGGGGGATACAGGTAGCATGTATTTAGAAATGCAAATATTCTTCATTTTCTGAAGCTGCAAAATGTGTTACCTTATTCATTATCTTCAAGTTGCATTATGTGAATTGGTGGTAGTACTGGATCACAATGCACTGCAGCTGATTTCAATATGGTTATTGGCTACAAATACATAATGAAGTGGAGTTTTATGGGTGGCATTGATGAAAATAAATCAAACTCTCTGCAAAAACACTGCTGGCTGAGAACTTTCAGTGCCTCATAGCCTAAAGCTGTAATCAGTCTGGTAGAATATACTTTCAAGCTCCTAATGCAGTGGATGCCAACCTTTTTGGCAGGCATGCCACAAATTAGCCCCACACCCTCTGAATACTGCTCTAATCCAAATTGCCACTCAGTTTTCTGTTCCCTGGGCAGTGCTTCCTGACCAAGTTGCTGCTCCATTTACTGCATTCTGTCTTATACTCCTTGCCCAGTCTGCTGCTCTGTTTTCTGTTCCTATCCTATCTGCCACTGTGCTGCCAGTCCCTTCCGCAATCTGACACAGGTCCGCCATCCTTTGTCTAATGGATAATCTAGTCCAGAAATTTTCAAATTTTTGCCACCATGGACTTCACCCCAGCAACTCCCCAGCAATCAACAGGTGCTGCAAAGGGAATAGATAGGAAAAAAAACAGGTGCATGGATGCTAAGGATGCTGCCTCTGCTGCAGCAGAGAAAAGAAACTGAATGTGGCAGGCAGTAAGATCTTGAGACTGCCTTTTCTGTTGTCATGACTGAAGTGTCCTGCTGATTCCCCTGAGCTCCTGTGGGCTGGATCCATATGTTGCCAGCCCCTGGTCTAGTCATACACCTAAATAACAGTAACAGTTCCTCTAGCTTTACAGTTTCACTGTCCAGATCCAGCCTATGGCCCATGGTTATTTTGACAGCTCTGGTATAATCCATACTTATTTTGTTTCCCCAGTCAGTGTCTGTCTGTAAATCCCGCACATTATGTACATGTAGGTGAAGCTACATCTACTTAGCAAACAGTGCACATCATTTTAAACCTGAAGGAGGTGACTATAAGTCAACAGCATGCTCTTTTACAAATAAATTGAACAGCCTACTGGGTTGCATAGATGGGAATGTCGCTTGCAAATTGTGCAAAGGTGATTCTGCCACTCTTGGGCACTGGTGAGGCCTCACTTGAACTGCTGTGTCCAGTTTTGGGCCCCACATTTCAAGAAAGATGTGGACAGAATGGAAAGAATCAAGCGGGGAGAGACAAGAATTATTAGAGGGCAGCATGATTTACAAAGAAAGGCTGAAAGAACTAGGGTTATATTTTAGTTTGGGGAAGAAGGCTGAGAGGGGATTTAATAACAGTTTTCAGATACCTGAAGGGGGTGGTTATATGCGGGATGGAAATTAGTTTAGTGTGTTATTCTCTGTGGCTCTAGGGGACAAGACTAGAAGCAATGGTCTCAGGCTGCAGCAGAGACCATTTGGGTTGCAGATCAGGAAGAACTTTCTGACTGAGGTTGGACAGTCATTAGAACAGGCTACCTAGAGAAGTTGTGGAAATTTTCAAGAGCAGGTTAGACAGACACTTGACTGGGATGTATAGTCAAGGGTGATCTTGAGTGCAGGGTTTGACTAGATGACTTCATGAGGTCCCTTCCAGCCCTACTTTCCTATGATTCTATGATCTTCATTGGTTATGTAATGTGTAGTTAATCAGTTGTACATTTAAATTTTTAACTAAAGTCATCTATGCTTGAAATATTTTGGACCTAAAACCTTTACTAGGAAGGCTAATAATCGCAAGAGAAATTGAGTGTTTTTACCACTGTTCTCAAATCCTGCGCTGAATGTTTTTTCTTCATCATTACTAATCTGGAGCACCTTATCTGAATTTTGAGGGGCACTATTTTTGAATATTGGCTATCTACTTGCATCATGACTTCTTGTAGTATTTCAATGCTTTGTTATGATGCTACTGAATTTTATATAACAAGGATGGGGCTCTCTAATGTTTTATTGACCTTGGACAGAGCTGTAGATTTCTGATATAGTCTCTTAGAATGACATCTCTTCTGTGGTCTGGTTTGTGGAAGGAGGGAAGAAAACAGCTTTTCTTTATAAAGGAGAAGGCTAAGTGTTGAAGCAAAGCCAGGTCTTCTCCTGCCATAAATGATTTATCACATTTGTGACAGCAAAGTGTTGTGGTTTCTTTTGGCTACCTGTAGAGATCACATTTTCCTGTACCAGTGTCTTCCTGCTTCCCCATTGAAGCTTATGAAAACAAACCCAAAGGTGCATTTCATTATGTAAGTTACAGGAGATCTATTCAAATGATTCACTTCT